TTCCTGCCCGTGGACCCTGTGGGGACCGATTACCTAGACAGGTGGTCACAGCGTCCGTACAGGGTCTATTTGCCTGCAGGGTTCACACACGGGTAGCCGAATGGCTACAGGTGAGGCTCAAGAGTGTACCACCAGAAGAGAGCCCCCGACATCATGTACGTACCCAGTAGTGGTGGTACACCAGACTCTTCATAGCTTTGTGATGAAGATCGAGGGTTAGGGTTGTGTCACGTACTCAGCTTAGGTATACGTCTAATCCAAAAGGAAAGGCTTCATTTGGATTAGAGACACTAAGCATGACGAGGTCAAAATTCAAATTTGTTTTTGGGATTCCGCTGGTGGTGGCAGCACACGTAGTCACGCGTGTGTACGGCGGTAGGTGCACTTACATGAGGTTGGCATGATGCTTACAACCCTTGATTGGTTATACTACTGAGCCCACATACCCACCTATTGCAAAAATAATTACTTCATTTGGTACAGAGTTAAGTGAGAATTGCGAGGTCAGAATTCAAACTGTTGTGGGAGGGTTCGTGTGGTGGTCAGAACCCACGGGCACGCGTGTGTGTGCGGCCGCACGGGTGCATCTACACCAGGCTGGCACGACACAACTAAACCTTGATTGTTTGTCATACAGCTTACATGCTCACCTATTGCAAAAATGGTTGACTTCATTTGGGTAAGAGACGCCCAGGCATGACGAGGACAAACCTCAAATTACCGCTATGAAACCTACGCGTTGTTGGTAATCATCCGCAGGCACGTGCGCGGCCGGGTGTAACGCAAATCGAAAGCAGGCCAAAACAACGCATCATACAAGAATTATGTGTGTAGCATTCATCGCATTTGGTTGTACTTAGCATGCTATGGAATCGAGATCCAATCTTCCAAGTTCAATGTTTTCTACTTGAACCCACGTTTCTTTACATGTGATTTCGGGGCGGTATCCGTTCGTGCTGGCCACATGTCAACGGAAAACTGTGAAGTTGGGCGTGTTGACCTGGAACTGCCACCGACAGTTCGTGGTGGTACGGGGAAGAAGAGCACCGCTGCTTAACAAAGTTGATCACTGACCACTAACTAGTTGTCGTTAATTTTGTGTAACGATACCCAACCTCCCAACCACGCTTCAGGGTGGTTTCATGATCGTGTGCAATCACGCAACTCCATAGCTAGCCGGGACAGAAGACGTGGTTTGCTGCGCCCCCCTGTGCTGTTGCCCCCAGCGGTTGGGGGTTATACACCGCCCGTGTCCCCGCAGCATCCGGCCGCTGGCCAACAGACGGAGAAGCCATCCTCTCCAGCTGCTGCGAGAGGCAGCGAAAAGGGAACGCAACGTCGCGAGAGCGGTTGGGGGGCAGTACAGACACCTAGGGAGGTAGAGCGAAGCGCCGGGCGCAAGATTCTGGGGCCCGGTTGAAAGGTCCGGGGCGAAGATCAGGGAAGAAGCGTCAGGTACGGAGCGGGGCAGATGCCGGGAGCTGGCTTTACTGTGTGCACCTGCGGCCAAGAAAACAGCCCAATACTTGCGAGACCGCCCTATATTTCACGGCGACTTTGGCAAGGGGAAGGTCGTGGCCTTGTACGGGAGGGTGTTTCCAGAGGCAAAGTGGCAAAAGATTCTACGTGCCCCGGCAATCGCGTTAGAGAACATGCGGGGCTTTATGCTGAACTTCGTCAAGGGCAGGACCAAGAAGGGAGCGACCAAAAAAAAGATCTTCTCCATCCCGACTTTAAACACAGACAACAAGTCGACGAGGAGCAAAGGGAGGTCGTCAAAGCTGAAGGATACAGTTGGCAACGCCTACGCGGGGGAGCAAGAGAAGGCNATCCCGACTTTAAACACAGACAACAAGTCGACGAGGAGCAAAGGGAGGTCGTCAAAGCTGAAGGATACAGTTGGCAACGCCTACGCGGGGGAGCAAGAGAAGGCGATGGTCCTGAACGTGTTTGACGCTGTCATAGGGAGGGGGTCGTTGACCGAGGAGCAGGTGGTGGACATGGCGACGAAGATTGGAGCATCAACGCCGTTTAGCATGGCAAATGCTGACGGAGGTGAGGGCGAGATCAATCGATCTATGAAGGGGGGAGAGAGGAGGGGGCGGGGTGAAGGGAGAGACAAAGTGAAGGAAAAAGAGGGCACTCATTAATTTTCTTACAAAGACAGGAACACATTATTACCCGCAAATTGCTAACGGCGAATCGCTACCATGATAGAAAGTCGACGGCTACAAATTGTATCGTAGTGCCCAACCTTATGGTGAGGATTGAGCGTTGTCGGTTTTCGTCATTTTCGCCTATCTGTACGGTGATGGTATGTTCCCTGCACCATGACATTGTTTTCCTTGTGTGAATCACACATTCGCGTCCCTGCACTGCGGTTGTAATTTTCCTTGTCATTTTTCGTGCGAACCACCTATGTGTGACCTGCAGGGATACTAGAAGGTACTCAGCAGAGTCTAGAATTTGTTTTTGTTGAGACAACAGCTCACAACTCTGCGAAGCCACGCACCAACCCCCCACGTCGTCAACACCCCCCCTTTCTCCCTCACCCACCTCAACCCCTTCCCAGTGTCCATCACGTGCGCTGGTCAAATATCGTTACAGGGGCTAAGCATGCCAACAAATCCGCAGGCCCGACGAAGTGGCTCCAAGATTACAGCTTCGACGCAGTCGCCGACGAGCTTTTTTACACCACGTGTGCCCACGGCGTGGACCTGCTTGTGTCAATACATCAAGGGGTGAGGCAACGGGACTTGGAGGGTGGGGCACAGGGGAATATCAACTACTTCGTGAGCGAGTTGGACTCGAAATGGCGGATGAAAGTGGATCTGTTCCTGGTGTGCTGCGACCGTGCGCAACTTGTCCCGTCAATCAAATGACGCGTCGGCAATCAAAGGACGCGAGCAGTCGGACAGACAGTATCGGGTGGTGGCGCTCTCTCGTTCGACCCGACATCGACGGACCCAATCCCCCCGTCGCAGTACCAATCATGGCTTCGTGCAGCTCGAGATCGTATCGCCGCGCACCTCGCCATGGACATACTCGACGAGAAGAGGTGGACCGGAGACTGCACGCCCAAGGGAGTTGTGGCGTTTTACAGTGTCGAGGGCGAAGCTGCGTTGAAGGCACCTCCTGTTGCCGCCGACCCCGCGGTCAGCTCCGGGGGAGGCGTACCGGGAGGACCGGCCACATCACCTGAGGTACCGGTGCAGATTGACAGCGTCGAAAGTAGTACCGTGCGCTCTGGTGGGGACGGGACCGAGGAGGGCGGAGTGCCAACGCTTGCGGAAGAGGACCCTCTTCTCCACTACCGAAGGGGCGCAGGCCGTTCAGTACAACGCATTTTTTTGTGGCGTTTGACGTTAGTGAGTGCACTGCTTGCCGGGCTTGCCGCGGGCATCTTCCCGTGCCTGGTATCCTCCCGTGCCGGTATCGAAGGGGCCTGGCATGTTTTTTGACATGTTCCTCCGCGGTCGGTCCGCAGTCGGCAGTCATGGATAGGAAATATGTCATGGATACGGTGTCGGGAGGTCCTGAGACGTTCCGAGGCTATTCGATGTTCTGCCGTGCGGTGACGTGGAGACGATTTCCGCTCGATTTTCGCCGTCCGTAAGTGGACACAAGTGGGTACAATTTAGACAAAAGTGGGTCGAAATATAGACATAATAAGTGGGTACATGAAAAAAAAAGTTGACGCCGCTGGGTATACCCACCGCGATGTCGGACAGAAGTGGGCACTCTGGTGAGGCCTTGCGCGCCTCTGCGGTATTAGGGCCGAATGTGTGCCTGAAAGTGGGAAAAAATCGATGCCCGTGCTGTCCATGGTCCCTGGCTGTGTTGCCCAGGTGTCAGAATGGGGTTTTGAGTCGTTTGGGGGTTGCCTTGGGAGTGCACGCGCGCTGGATTTTCGAGTACCCACGTTTGTCCGAGAATGGCGTGGGTATTACTCCCGAGTATAATATAATCATAATAATACTAATATAATACCCACTTTTGTTCATTTCCCTTGTTTTTTTCTACGCGCACAGCAGCACTGATGATCATCATCTATCGTCATGTGTTCAAGATACGATGATAACCAGCTTCCAGTGTAGCGCCGGTACAAGGGAGGGGGAGGTGGTCGATGTGGTACTACTGCTGTAGCTGAATCAGATGCGGGAAGAAAGTGGTGGGAAAGGGGGGAGGGGGACTGAAAAGTTATTATCCCTTTCTTCCTTTTTTCTTGGACCTATGACTAAAACACGATGATCACCATCTTGTGTGATGATACTGCTGTAGCCCTTAGAGAGGAAAAGAAAATAAACGACGTTTGCTCGTTTTTCGTGCGATCTATGTACACCGGTCGCCCCGGTGGTCTAGTTGGTAACCTCGAAACCTTCTAGAAGAGGTAGGTCAGGTCAGGGGTTCAAATCCCGGCGTAAGCGAGCTTTTCTTGCAAAGTGAGTTTTTCTCTCGCTTCCGCTCCTGGCCTAGTGGATAGCGCTAGTTCGTGTGTACACAGAGGGCAGAGAGTGCTGAACTCTTCTCGCATTGAAAATCGAAGGCAAAGTACCGCAGGAGGGGAGGGTAGAGAGGGGCTCTCCTGTGTGACCACGGGTTGGAGTAAACGGCACTACTAGTAGTGCCGTGAGCGCTGATTTGAAGTGAAGAAAATAAAATAAAATAAAATAAGAGTGGGGGACAATCAAGTTTCCTTCACAACTTGAGGTTGTGTGCTCTCGAGCACACAGCTGTGCTTGTACTACAGCAGTAGTTCCACACACAGCTGTGCCCCACCCAGTGCCTCCACCGATGAATTGCTGTGTTGGAACCAGAGCATAATAACGCGACCGTCACAGGGTTGCGAACATTGTCACTGCTACAGCAGTACATGCGTTTTTTTTCTAAAACAACCTCCCATTGCATGCTAAAGCAAAATATCACATGCCTACAACGAATGAATGTTGCATGAAACAGGATTCCACCTTCTAGACTACAGACAGCAGACAGGCCTGTGCAACCCATATGATGGCGTGGGGCGATAGGGAGATTCGGCACCATGGAGTGTGTGCCATGTGCACACACGCACACAACCAATACTACCCCTAAAGTGCATTCATTCATAGACTACATACATAGTCTAGAAATACCAAACCAATAAAAGACTCTGAGGCTCACGCACACCAACTAAAGCAATTAACGAGATAGCAACCCGTATTTTCACCATAGCCACAAAAACGCACGACGAAATAGCCCCCCAAAGGGACTCCCGCCAACAAGATCACAGAGCGGTTGCGTGGTTTCGCGCCCTTACGACCCTTCCCCGGTCCTTACTCCCCCCGCCCCGCCCATGGAAACAAAAATCCGTGTGTCGTTCCTCCATCTACATCTTTTCCCACTCGGCACGTGGTAACACAGCGGCAGGAATTGTCAGGAAAAATCGTGCGTCGAGACCACCAGTAGTCGGACACGGTTTGACTTTTGAATACGATTGCAGCGACTAGTCTGCGTAGCAGTAGAAAAGAATCTATCTCTCCGTGGCATGTATTCTCTTGTTCTAGAAATATTCCGGAAGCATTCTAGGTCAAGGTCGACCGGGACATCTACGTAGAACGTGTGTAGCTTCTGGAAACCTTCTGGAAGCTTCTGGAAGCGTTCTAGACCTAGATTGCACTTGATACTTTTCTAGAAAGTAGGAGGGCTTCCAGAATCATTCTGGAAGCATTCTAGATCTTTCGTGTGATTTGCTTACTTGTCCGGTTTTCGAGGAGAGTGGTGCACCCCTGGGCTCGCCACCCCTCTCACTCCTCTTGAGTACCAGCAACATCAATCTGACTCGGGAGTCAGCAATAAATAAAAACATCTTCATCTTTCCATTCCAAGTCTCTCGCGGTTGGAGTCGCACAGAGTGTGAACATCTGAGGTAGGCTACACAGCCTCCTGGCATCTGCAGCATCGTACTGCTGCTAGTGCACAGCGAAACTACCCTAACACGAAGAGCAAAGTATGGGCACCCAATTAACAATCGGAATGCGTCAGCCAGCCTGCGAGGACCAGCAACGGCACGGGTCCCCTTAACAAAGTGTTTGTTCTTTCATACACATGGATCATAGGGACTGCAGTACACCTCTCTGGGGGATGTGCGTCTGTCTTCGCCCAACGACGCGCTCGTCGTCGCTGCGCAAGCGCATCACCCCGAGCAAGAGATTCTGGGGTCATCCCCGCACCCCAGGGATGACGAACCCCCTCTCATGCTCTCTCTACCACCAATGCGGTGCCCATCTTCCGACACCTGACTCCTTCACCGGGGTTCAGCACCCTCAACATCCTTCCAACACCTGGATACATGGAGCACCTTTACCTACGTATCGCTCCGCGCCCATCACAAAGATGCGTCGTCAAATTGCTATAAACAAGCTGCACTGATAAAGCGAGCGTGCCGGGCAGGCAGGACTCTCCGCCGCGGCCCAGCGCACACTCTTTAAAACAGACCAAGTATCACTGGGGAACAAATTCCAACCCCCCCAACGAGGAGGCGAGCGCACGCGCCGCGTTTTCTTGGCTCCGTGGGCCACCAAAAGGAGAGCATGGGGCGGGGCAATGCAGGGACTACAGTAAAAACACGCCGAAGTCCGCACGCTCGCTCGCCGCCTACAGGCTACACTCCTGTATCGACACTATCCGACTGTCACACTGTTCAACACCTCTCTCTCCAGTTCCCAATACTTGTCAATTTAGCTGCGCCCCAAGACGTGCGAGCACCAAGCAGGCGCTCCGAGCAGGGTGTGCTGCTGCTGCTGCTGCCAGACAGCCTCCGAATCTCCCCCTCCAAAAAAGCGAAAGACAATTCCTGAACGACCCTGCTGGGTCGTGTGGAAGTAACAAAATGGTAGCAATACTACAAGCAAACAGGTACACTCGTTGTGGGTCTCAACGGGCCGCTTGCAGAGAGAGAGAGGTCTTTGTCAGTACGACCACTGCTTGACGAGGAAAAGGAGGGGAATGAAGGACAGGATGAACACAGCGTCCACCGCGCCCCACTTGGCCACCAGCATGGCCGTCTTGCGCTTCGTTCGACTGGCCGACAGGCTGCCGTAGGTCATGCCCGGGGCGGGGGGCGTGAAAGAGGAAGAGACAGTAGAGGCAGGTGCGGGAAATCAAAATCAACTAAGTGTTTACTCTCCTCGCGTATGCGTGGATAACAAGGTCATAATCTTCACTGCAGGACAACAACAACAACAACAACAACAACAACAACAACAACAACAACAGGAACAGGAACAAACACTACAATTCCCATGACACCGCGATTGATAGCGTTTCAGCCTGTATCCCCCACCCCCCATCCATACCGCGGGTGGACACCCCACGTGCCGCCGTCGTCCTTGACTCGGACGGATGTCTGCGACGACACCCTTCAAGACAGCAGTGATTGCTCTTTCACAGCTTCGATGGTTGCCCGTTACGTGTAGCGGTCGGTCGATCGGTCGGTCGGTCGATCGGTCGGTCTCACCTGTTAAGTCTCCGCGGCTTGGTGTCGACGCCGGCGTCATCACCACCTCCTCCACCTTCGCCGCAGCCGTCCGGCTTGCCGCTGCTGCTAACCCCCCCCGTCTTATACCCCTGCCCATCACCACCGTCGTCGCCAACACTGCCGCCACTACTACCGCCATCTAGAAGCGATCCCATCGAGCTCATCGACTCCGACGCGCTCGTCACCCCCCCGGCCGGT